ATTCTCCCATTATTTTGATGCTTTCTGTACTGACTCTGGGTGAAGGGAGGACTTCTAATCGTAGTAATTAAAATGTCAGACTTGTGTGTCCTCCCTGATATGTCACTAAGCTTTCTCCAGGAGTGTCACAGCCTGAGACCTTAAACCTGTCCCTACAATATTGTTTTTGGTGTGCTAAGGATCACACTTTCTGTGTGGAGTATGTTGTGTTAATCTCTGATGGCTATGGAAGGCATGGAGTGACTTCTATTTAGCCTTAGTGTTTTCTTCCCACCCACATTCCTCACTAACAAACCACAGTCCTTACCTAAGAGTGTGTGCCATGTTCAGTAGTTCAGTATATATCTCAGTTTTCTATGCTGTTGCTCACATAGGCTGTGAAGGATGTTTTACCTTCCATAATTTCCTTAGACTGGTCAGTGTAGACCAGTGGTTCTCAACCTCTGGGTTGAGACCCTTTGGGGTTGCATGTCAGATATTTTCATTATGATTCACAGAAGTAGAAAATTACAGTTCTGAAACAGCAACAAAATAATTGCATGGTTGGAGATCACCACAACATAAGGAACTGTATTGAAGGGTCACAGCACTGGAAAAGTTGAGAATCACTGATGTAGAGTCTAGAGAGCTTGTGAGAAATCTCATATCAGGCCCATGAAGATACTTTTGTTACAATCTCCATGATCTGCTTTGGCCATCTTTCTGTCCATCTTATCCCCCTTTCCTGGCCATGTCTCTTTAGCCTGCTCCTTCTCTCTCCACTTGGTGTTCCTACAGCACCTATCCTCAAGAGGAGAGAGTACCTGCTTCATGACTCCAAATGATCTTGTGCCCCAACAAGCAGCACATACTAGTTAATTTCCCCTTTATGTGCTGCAGAGATTCTGTAGATTTCACCTTTTCCTCATGTTTCAGGGGTCCTTCATGTGTTTCTGATATTTTTCTGTTCTTTGTTTCTTAAGACTAAAGTCATTTATTTTATGTTTAAGATATATTTTTACTATTTTCATTTATGTATAGGTGTATGTACACATGCATGTGGGTATGTGAGTGCAGGTCCTCATGGTTGTGAAACTGCTTGGTGTGGGTGCTGGGAACTGAACTCCGGTCTTCTGAAAGAATAGCAAGTGCTCTTAGCTGCTGAGCTGTCTCTCCAGCACCAGTCTATTCCTGTTCATTATTAATCCTGATTCTAGGCCATATAGAGACAGCGTCTAGTCCACCATTGTGCCCTGAGTTATTTTTTCTCTAAGAAATTACAACATTTTTATTAAAATGTACTTTTCTTGACATTGGTGTTCAACTATGTTATATATGTTGTTTCTTCATACTTATCTAATTGTCTAATGACCTCTAAAAACCACTAGACATCTTATATTAATTTTTTTAGTTTGTATACACACTAAAATTTTTATTGTGGTGAAGTATGTATAACAAAAACTTCTATTTTACGTATTTATTCTTATTCTGTGTGTGTGTGTGTGTGTGTGTGTGTGTGTTACGTGATACATGCTTGTGAGTATCAATCAATGAATTTGCATGTAAGTAGAGGACCAAGAGTTGGTCCTTGGGCATCCTCTCCTATCACTATCCTTCTTACTACCTTTAGCTGAGACTCTCCTCTGAACTGGAAGCTTGCTGCCTTTGCTAGGTGGGTTGTTGGCAAGGTCCAGAGACTAACCCATTTTTCCCCCTGGTTGCTGGGGTTATAGGTATGATCAGCTTTAAATCTCAGTGCTGGGGATTCAGACTGAATAAGGTCTTCCTGTTTTCAGAGATAAGTGTTCTTATCCAGAGTCATTTCCCCAGACATGTTCTTAGGCTTCTTATCATCTTGAATAGGTGAATAAACATTTTGCTAGCAAAAAACCCCCACATTTTTCTTACCTTGATAGCATGATTAAAATTTATGTAAATTCTCACTATTGTTGAATATTAGACAAATTTAAATATCAAAATTGAGTATGTTCTATTTCCCTCAACCACATTGATATTAAATAAGTTATAACTTTAGAGTGCTCTCTCCCTCTTTACTTCCTGGCTTTTCCTGTTCCACTTACTCCCTTTTCCCCTCCCTTCCCCTCCTGTTGTGTCCGCTACATCCACTCTTTCATTCCTCTTCAACATGAAGGCAAGCATGATGACAAACAATTTTTCCCTCTTACTTGGTTCTTAGATTTTCTTTTGTGGAGGTATAACTTTTTATTATATTTTTATTATTTAAAGCAATTTTAACTTTAAATATATTTTGATATATTCTTCCCCTCCCTCAAGTCCTTCCAGATCCTCTCCCCCTCCCTATTTATCCAACTTTAAGTTCTTTCTCAAAAAGGAACAAAAACCTGATACAACAACAAAGCCCCCTCAAACAAGAAACAAAATAAAGCACCCCCCAAAAAAACACTCACCAAACTGCTGTGACAAAATAAAAATCACAGACACACACACACACACACACACACCCTGTAGAATCCATTAAGTAGTGGTCCACTAATCTTGAGCATGAAACCTTCCCTAGAGTGGTTGATATATCCAATGTCACTCTGTTGGAGAAAACTAATTTTTCCCTCTCCTAGCAGATACAAATGACAGTCCAGTTGTTACCCTTTACCTTAGTGCCTACCTATCCATCCATCCATCCATTCATTCATTCACTTTTTAAAATAATGTAAAATATAATATAATATAATAAAGCAAAAGCTATCACATCAAAGTTAGACAAGACAAAGTAATGGAAGGAAAAGAGCTCAAAAGAAGGCATAAGAACCAGAAAGATACTCTTTCGCACACTCAGGAATCCCATAAAAACATTAAACGAGAAGCCATAATATATACACAGAGGACCTGGTGCAGACTTGTGAGGCTCTGCGCATGCTGCTTCAGTCTCTGTGAGTTCCTATAAGCTGTGATCATACTGATTTAGGGGTTTTTCTTTCTTGGTGTCCTCCACCCCATCTGGCTCTTACATTCTTTCTGCCTCCTTTTCAGTAGGGTTTCCTGAGCTCTGAGGGGAGGGATTTGATAGAGACATGCCATTTAGGGCTGAGTGTTCCAAGTTCTCTTTCTCTGCATAATGCCTGACTGTGGGTCTCCTTTTTTTCCCCATTTACCACAGGATGATGCTTCTCTGATGATGAGGCACTAGTCTATAAATAAAGCAGGCTATCATTAGGAGTAATTTTATTACTACATTTAAAAATATTTTTAGAGCAGTATTATTTAGGATTAGTATAGGTCTGGGCTATCAGTATTGGGCATGATTCCATCTTTTGGAGAAGACCTTAAATCAAATCAGTTATTGGTTGGTTAGTCCTACAAGCTTCGGGCCACCATCGCCTTGACATAGTACACCATTGTAGATAAAGGGTTTGTAGCTGGCTTGATGTTTGCACATTTCTTTTGTTAGCATGCAGAATACCTTCCTGTACCAAAGATGCTGAAATGTAAAGACTTTATGTAGGCACCAGTTTGACATATCTATAATCAATGAGTTGTGTAGGTGTTATCTTCAGCAGTAGGGTCTTGCAATAGTCTTGCAATATCTTCAGCAGTGGAGAGCAACCTATAGTCTTGCAACAGTCTGGGTTGTTTTGGAGATTTATGTGGGGCTCCTTTGGCCTACAATTTAATAACCCAATCCCAGTACTGAAAGTTTTATTTGGTAACAAAAGTTATCCAGTTGGTACTCTGCCTCCCCATAACTCAGTGATTTCATTTAGGTAACCTTCATATATGTATATATTTCAGGAAGTTTCCGCGGTACTAGATTTTATGCTACCCCTCAAATGTTCCTTATTTTACAGTCTCTCTCCCCTTATATCCTCCCACAGTCTCCTCTTCCCCTCCCCACTTGATCCTTCCATTCTGCCTCTGCTTTTATTTTCACTTCGTATGTTTACATCTAAGTACTTGTGGTGAGGATGAAGTTTAGTGGTAGAGCACTTGCTTAACATGTCAAAGGCTCTGGGTTCAGAATAAAAAATTCAATGCCTACGCTGTGTTTTTCTTCCATATTTTGTGCTTGCTCTTTACCTATAGTCTAAAATAATGTTTCTCAAATACCTTCACTGTGTTGTTTACTATTTGGTGAGCTTGTTATTTTTTTCCTTACTGCTGTGGTCAAATTCAGTGTAGGTCTGGTCTTTAAAGTAATTCATTCTTACTTTCCCCCTAACTACCCAACCTTAACCATGATCAGGATATATTATATGAAAAACATCTACTTTCAATAAAAAAGAAAAAATAATGATATAACTAATAATTTGTACTTTGAATGATTTGCTAAGTTTACCCGTGTGCCATTAATTAAATGTGATTTGCTCCTCCCCATTTGCTTTTGCATATGCTGCTGTGCTGATGTGAAACACCATGCTCTTTGCAGCACTTCAGATTACAGAAAGAACTCTTGCACTAATAAATGGCTTAGTGGATAAAGGCACCTGCCACCAAGCCTAACAACCTGAGTTCAGTCTCCATAACCCATATATATCTTATAGCTTCTACCAAAAATGTTTTAAAAATTTTATGTCTTTCTTTGAAAAAATAAAAATTTACAAATGTTTTACTATTTAAAGTACCTTTAAATAGTATATTAATTGTAGTATACTAATTGTATTATACCTTTAAATAGTATGACAGTATAACAGTAAAATATTAAATAGTAAAAGGTATATTATACCTTTAAATATAATACATAGTTGGTATAAATTTAAGACATTAGGCTTATTGTATACATTTAAGGTTAATACAATTATTGTATTTATATTAACAGAGTGTGTCATTATGGCATGTTGGAAGCCTGGAAGGGAAATTAATCTATCATTATTAACATCTCATTTTATAGATAATTATATTTTTAAAGTATTCAAATAAAATGATTTTTATGGTGCTAAAAAGAGTGAAGCTTATAACGTTTATAAACATTTTAGGGCTTGATTATGAAAATAACTTCATGTTTCATCTTTGCAGAGTGACTCTAATATATTGTCTTTATCTATTAGTTTTCCAATCTTTGAAAATCCATACCCAATGGACATTCATGAATCACCAGTTACATGCACAGCATATTTTGCCGATTGCCCTCCAGATTTGATTCTAGTACTCTATTCTATAGGAGTCAAGCATAAAAAGCAAGGATACAGTAGTAAGGTAAAGTTTTTCTGTATTTGTATGTCTGGTCAAGCTTTTTCTTGTCGTTTTATCTGACAGTTTGTTTTTGTTGTCGCCTTGTGTTAAAGGAGCGGTGGGCTGCGTTCTCACCCGGATCCCAGCTAGCTTACCCCCGAAATAATTACACGGAAACTGTATTCTTTTAAACACTGCCTGGCCCATTATCTGTATCCTCTTATTGGCTAACTCTTACATATTGATCTAACCCATTTCTAATAATCTTTGTAGCACCATGAGGTGGTGGCTTACCGAGAAAGATCCTAACCTGCGTCTGTCTCGGAGAGAAGAGTCATGGCGACTGCCTGCCTCTGCTTTCTTTCTCCCAGCATCCTGTTCTGTCTACTCCGCCTATCTAAGCTGCTGTCCTATCAAAAAGGCGAAGGCAGTCTCTTTATTAACCAATGCAAGTAATACATAGACAGATGACCCTCCTCCATCAGCCTTGCCTGATTTTGCTCACAAGGTGACTTGAATGAAACTTCCGAGGCTGTAAGAGGACATTGTCAAAGATGCAACCAGTGAAATTCAATTTCCTTACTGTGGCATAGTTCTAATCCTATGCAGTTATAAGTTTTTTGTACACTAAGTATGTAATTACATACTAAGATAAATTTATCAGTCATGCTTATTTTATACTACATATATAAAGTATCAGAGTCTTAATAAGCACCCTTTATTTTTTTACATGGATCATATTTTAAGAAATTTGAGAATCAGATCTTGCTAATTTATAATTTGAAAATTATAATTGTTAAACATTTGTTGCTAACATAATGAAATTTTTCTTTAAAGTATTTATAGTTATCACAAACTTTCTTATATGGTTTATGATATTGGCCCAGGATAACTGAAATGTACAATTGAAAGAAGAACTATTTATATACTGTTCTGGGTTAAATGGTACCACAATAGCTTGCTGGCAACACGTACTATATGGCATATGTTGCAACACTGTATTTATCCAAATAAAAATACTTCTCTTACTGGCTTATATAAGTGGTAATATTTGTTAAAATCTACTCTAAAGGAGTTGTTATTCTGCATTTACAGATCTATTTGTTTAATATCATCATGACAAGGCAGGCAGTAGAGTGGTGGCAGCTTCAGCTCTTGGGTTTGGATGTCAGCTCCTTCCCCAGTGAAAGCAGCTGAAGTGGTCTAGGTGATAAGCGCCATTCTTGTATATGAAGAGCTGCTCATGAATGGCCAGATGAATTGTGGCAAGGCCGCCAGAGGTATCCTAGCAATCCTCACAAAGCTCGGGTCATCTAGCTCCACAAAACAGTCCACAATGGAAATAACCTAGATGCCAGTTTACCAGCCTCATAGCCTTGATCATGTGCCCAGTGACAAACTTACCACAGAATCTGCAGCATGGAGCAAACAGCATTTGAAAGTCATACTTGCAGTAATGCTCGCCATCACACTCGTACAAGAGTCAGAAGCACAGTGCACACACAAAGCATTGCTCCTGGTAGAGTACCCCATTGCTGTTGATGACTTGCTCTGTAAGGACAAACTGGGCCTGGCAGGACTGGCACATGGCATCAGTCAAGTCAAGTATTCAGACATGTGTTGCTTCCCATTGTGGTGGCTGTGTGCCTAGCTCTGGTTAGCAATCCTGGCTATCTTCAAGGTTTTCTGATACACAATCTGTCATTCATTATTAGTTTAGTTTTAAATACAGGAGGCCTGTGCCCTTTTGTGTCTCTCAATGCTTTTCCTTGGTGTTTGGCTGTGATATACCTTGATGTGGATGTCTTGGGTTTTATTCCAATTTCTAGACTCTGTAAGTTCATTTTTTTTGTCAAATTGAAGACAATAATGCAATTGTTCTTTGGCTGTTTTATAATGATGTGATATTAAATATTTTTATTATTTTGTAACATTTAATTCTAAAACCTTAAGCATTTAAACTGGAAAAATTAAACTCCTATGTTTTCCTTGACAATCTTCTTAGGAATGGCCAGTCAGTGGAGGAGCTTGGAATCTTGGAGCACAAACTTACCCAGAAATTATTATTACTGGGTAAGTCAGAAGTTTTCTAAGTTATAAATTATAACACATTATGTTATAAACTTAAAAACAATAAAAAATATTTGTTTAGGCTTGACAATTTTATGAAATTATACTCTATGCAGATGAATCATTTAAGTAAAAGTAAGAAGAATCTGAGAAATAGCTTTAATACATAATTCTTAACTTTAATGAGAGGAACAATCACATTGCTGGAAAAAGAATTATACTTAGATTATATTAGCAGAAGAAAGTCAAAGGAAAATTATGAGATTCACAGAGAATGCTTTATTTGGAAATTATAGAATATTAACTTCAGGAAAGTCTCTTCCTCATCAATCGTGTTTATTCCTGAATGGCTGATGTGTTTTTGTCTACTGTCTTTCTGCATCATTTGGAATAACCAAATGGATTTTTTTTTGATTTTGGATAATGAGATTTTCATTCTGGATAATTAAAATTTGCCAAATGATTTTTATTAAAATGTTTGCTTGGTTTATATTCCTAAGATAATTTTCTTTGGTTATAAAGAATTACTCTTTCTGTATCTCTTATTCATATTTTCTTGATGATTTTTTGTCTATGTTTATTGGGATATTGTTGAATCTTTTTTCTTACAATATTTTTTTCTGGGTTTGGTTTCACATAATTCTGACTTTTCCAAATGTGTTGGAAAGTACTGTGGCCTCTTTGTTTTGTAGATAAGTTTGTATATAATTGGTATAAATTATTAATCATGACAGTTTTAATTAGTTTAAATATTCACTTTACATTTTGATAAATATTCGAGTTATCTTTTTATTAAATGTTAACAATTTTATTTTAAAATTTCATTCATTCCATAAGCTATTTTACTATTCACTATGATATGTCTAATTTTCCAGAAAAAAATCAAAGATTTTTCTTTCTCTTGTATTCAGAGTACAGTGTATCTTTTTTGTTAATTGCTTTTAATGAGCTATAAATTTTCTCTGCTCCCTTCCCCTACATCCCTCTTCCCTTCAACCCTCTCCTGTGACCCTATACTCCCCATTTACTCAGGAAATCTTGTCTTTTTCCAATGTATCTTTTTAAAAATCATTTTTAAGCTTAGAAATGGTTTGTCATACATCAATATTCATTACAATATTATTTTAATAATAATAACAATAATTAGTCAATGTTGTAGGTATTTAGAGTGACTATTTTATTTGATTTACTTTAATTAATATTAAGTTATTTTTATTTAGTCATGCTGATGGATCAATAAAATTTTGGGATGCCTCTGCAAGTAAGTTTTATGTTTCTCACCATTCAAGAGAAAACATTTGGTTAATATTTATTCATGGCCATCTACCATTTTTTAATTTGAAAAAAATGCCATTTCAGAAATATTTTAGCATAATTATGATTATATTGCTTTGTTACAAAATTCATATCCTGTATTTTAGATCATCTTAAGGTATCTCTACCTAATTGTATTCAATAATATTAAATAAACAAGACTATGGCCACTCTTTCAAAAATCCTATGTTAAAAAAATGTTACATTAGGAAAATAGCCATGCTTTACCAGATTAATTGTTCAAGGAATTCCCTCTGTGTCCTATGTGCATGTTATTTGACAAGTATCTTTATTCCTCCATTCTCTATTCAACTTCCCTATTCAACTCTATAATGTTCCATGAGAATAAAAAAGAAATTATTTGATAACATAAAAATCTTTGAAATTTTTTGACAGTTAAGTAATTTAAGGAATAACATATGGTCAATGTGGAAACCCCTATTAACTTACCTAAGTATTCATTATACCCATATATGTCATTCACAAACCATGGTTGTAAGAAAAGTTAAAGAAATGCACATGTGTAAATACATGTCAAACTAAGAAAAATTTAAATGTAGTGCAATCAACTGCTATTTTCCTAAGAAATTATAGAGGTTTATTTGAACTAGTGAATTTCAAGGAAGATTATTTATATATGTATTATTTATTTACCTTTCAGACAGAATTTTTTAGGTAGCCTATTCTGGCCTCTACGACCCTCAAGCCTCAGCCAATCACTTTCTAGGATTACAATTATTCACCAGAAGCCCAGGTAGAAAGGATATTTTAATGAATTAACAGCTAATCTGAATTTTGTTAGGTAGTTAAAACTCCAGTGGTTCTCAACCTTCCTAATGCCATGATCCTTTCAGTATAGATCCTCATGTTGTGGTGACCCCAACCATAAAATTATTTCATTGCTACTTCATAACTATAATTCTCTACTGTTATGAATTATAATATAAATATATGATATGCAACCCATGCAGAATCATCAATCATCCCCCAGGAGTCACGGACTCACAGGTTGAGAACCACTTGCTTGACTGTCTAGTCAAGAATAGGAAGAGAAGAACAACTGAGCAATACTTTTAGTTTCTGAGAATGTATAATCAGGAGGCAAGAATCATGAAAATAAGAAATACAAGAAAACTGAGTAATGTAGAAGGAGGCTTCTTGTTCGTTCCCAGCAGCTCAGACCCGAAATAACACATCGACACTATGTTATTTAAATCACTGCTTGACCAATCAGCTTATGCATATTTCTGGGTTACTCTTTTATCTTAAATTAACCCACTTTTATTAGTTTATATTTTACCACAGGGTTCATGGCCTACTGGCAAGGTTCTACCTAGCAGCTCTCATCTTTCCCCTCTGCCGGCTTCATGGCATCTCATTAACTCCACCTTCTTCCTCCCAGCATTCAATTTAGTTTTCCCAACCTAGCTCTATTCTGCCTTCTCGCAGGCCAAAGAAGTTTCTTTATTCATAAACCAATAAAAGTAACACAGATAAGGACTTCCCACACCAGACTAATATGACACAAAGGTGTTGTCTAACGTACAATTTCTATTTCAGTGTTTACCAGCTATCTCAATGATGTCCTTTATAATAGCAACAACTAGAAGGAATTATTGCTTTTAATCTGGTCATATTTCAAGATATTTAAAATGTAGAGCGAGCCCAAATATTTCATGTCACTGACAATGTTTAAAGTTCAGGCCAATTGTTTTATAGAATTGCTTTGGACTGGCCTGAATACTGCTTCTCATTAATGCCAAACTGTGCCCTTCTCGCAGGAGCTTCTGGCTTTTGAAACTCTCTTCAAGACCATTCACAGAGCAAGAGTCTTTTGTTTTGTATGGGGAATTCTGTTTTTATTGTGCTCTGAAGTGGAAATAACTTCCCCTGAGTAAATATTATTGAAAATCATTCATGAACCCAGTGTATACCATACCCTTTCTAAACTAGAAACACCAGATGAAATCTTTCCTAAAACAAGTAAAGAATTCTGTCTAAAAAAAAAATCTAGAATATTATATCAACCTCTTATCAAGCAATTAAGATGTTGTTGTGAAAAAAAACATGGCAACGTGCTACCTAAGAGAGATTTGTGTTCTGATTTCCATTATAGGCTTTCATAATTCCAATGCTCATAAATATGATTTTTCTCTTTCTCTTTATAATTTCCCTGTTGATACTAATGACAATGAGGGCCTGACACTGAGGATTTGCTATGTAAATGGGATTTGCCCTACTTGGGTTTTACTTTTGTGGTTCAACAAATGTACTGAACAAAACTTGAACAATGTCTAAGAATTAAAATCAAATTAGGAAATAACTACATTTTAATATCTTATAGTGACTCTGCAGATGTTGTACAAGTTAAAAACTTCAAAAGTATTTGAAAAGCAGAAGGTAGGAGATGGCAAACAAGCGTGTGAAATTGTAGAGGAAGATCCATTTGCTGTGCAGATGGTTTACTGGTGTCCAGAGAGCAGAGTATTTTGTGTATCAGGAGTCTCTGCATATGTCATAATTTATAAATTCAGCAGACATGAAATTACAACAGAAATTGTGGTAAGTTACTTTAACTTTCCTATTTATAGTTACTAAAATAAGGCAATTATGTATTTGAACTATTGCTTGGTATGATTTTTAAGTAATTAAAAGACAGCATAAAATCTATATATTTTCCGTAGTACTTTAAATTACCATTACTTAATATATTAGAAAGTAGTTTATTTCAAATTAACAGCTTTCTAATAAAACTTCCGTGTCAAAATGAACTTGTTATTTTAAAATTAATATCACTACAAACTGAACATCATGTTGTTCTCTTCAATTTTGTATCTACCTGACCGAACAGAGCCAATTCCTAAATATTCATTGTCAATATTATAATATCAGTATTATTCTTACTCATAAAGAAAAATTACTTATTATTATAGTATATAACACATTTAAAGTAGGTATTGTATAGGATATACTTAAACATGTATATGCATATATGCATTTAATTAGATAGTGTAGAGTTTTGCTGTCTGTATGGTCAATTTAGTGTAGACTTTGTTCTTTTAAAAATGTAAATGCTTAATGTTTTCTTGTTAACTAGCCATCATAAATGATTATTTATCAACTATAATGTTACTCTAAATAGTTTTTGTATACTAAAATTTTATATGGTTCAAAATATTATTATCGAAATTTTAATTTCTAAATTCATTACACAAAATTCTTATTATGCAAAATAATGATGTTACTATGGATTAATTACATCTATGTTAATATATCTATAATTTTTCTATATAATTTACCTTTTTAACCAGAATATAAAGATTATTTCATATAGGACTTTTTGTGTTTTTACCTCAACTAAAATTAATGTTTCTTTTACTGTATACTGAAAGTCCAGGGTTTAGGATCACAACCCTCGTTTTGCTATTGATTATCTTTGTGTGTGTGTGTGTGTGTGTGTGTGTGTGTGTGTGTAGCTCTGAGCAATTAATAGGCAGTAACAGAATCTTGGTACAATATATTCTCATACATATATAATTTCTTGTGTAAAAATGGCAAATGAAACATAAAAGCAAAATGGAAATACTCAAGCTAATTTCATCAGGTTTTTATAGTAGTGTTGTAGCAATCAGCACTGTGTATTAGTAAGTACTCAATAACAGATACTCAGACTGTCACTGCCAAAAAGCTTCTGGTAGTTTAGAGATTGCTATTGTAATAAGTTCGTTAATATTGCTGTGTTCATGCCATATGAATATTATTTTAATTTACTTTTAGATATAAAAATGTACATGCTACAATATAAATTAAATACTTTTTGTAAATATATGCACATATCTGTTTAAATTTCTTTCATTGGGATAACTGTCAATTTCTCCTTTTATTTTAATCATCTACCATATTATAATTTATCATAAAAAATGTATTAGTTAGTGTTTCAATTACTTTGATTAAACACCATGACCAAAAGCAATTTGGGGAGGAAATGATTTATTTCACTTTTACTTCCAGATGTTGTCAGTCACCAGAGAAGTCATGGCAAAACTCACTCAACCAGTGTGTGAAACTGTAGGCTAGAACAGATACAGACATAGTGAAGGCATACTGCTTACTGCCTTGCTCCCCAAACCTGAAGCATCCTGCTTTCTTATATAACTCAGGACCACCTTCCCAAAGTTAGCACCACCCACAGTGGGCTGAGCCCTCCCAGGTCAATCACCAAGAAAAGACCCCAGGGGTTTGCCTACTTGCCAACCTGTTGGAAGACATTTTCTCAGTTGAGGTTCCCTCTTCCAAAATGACTTGAACTTATGTCAAGTTGACCAAACAAGTTTAAGAAATCACAGGAATATTCATTATATAAGAATTTATTTTCACTAGTAGGCATCTTCCTTATCAATTTGAGGAATTAAAAGTTATGTGGGGTTTTTTTGATCATTGTCATTGAATAGTTCATATAATTTACTATTTAATTCAGCTGAAAAATAATTCTCAAAGTGTAAGTTATTGAATTTACTGGTCTAACATTTAAGAATAGTTTTTTTAAACTCTCAAATATATTAATGTAGTTACTATTATTATTATAACTTAGACTAAATGAAAATCTGACTTTTTTAGTCATTAGAGGTACGACTTCAGTGTGATGTTGAAGACATTATCACCCCTGAGCCAGAAACAAGTCCTCCATTTCCAGATCTCTCCTCTCAACTCCCCTCTTCAAGGAGTCTTTCCGGAAGCACTAATACTGTGTCTAGTGAAGGGGTGACGAAGGACAGCATCCCGTGCCTCAGGTAAGAACTACTACCAAGTGCTGAAGCATGTTCCTATGTTAGTTATAGAATTCATGCACACTGTAACAGATAAATAATAACAGTTATTATTGTCTCTCGTTAAATTAGTTATGAGAGCGGCATTATTTCTTTGAATAACTAACTCTTAAAAAAAAGGCACACAGTGTTTTTATAATTCATTTGCCTATTCATAGTTTTCCCAGAAGGATTCTAAAGAAAACACGACTTTGATAAAACAGGAAATTTAGCAAGGCAAAACCCTGACCTGTTTTTCTAATTACTAGTTGTTGTTAAATGTTTTACTCAGTCATATCTAAGTTAAGCTTAAAAATAAAATTAAAAAGCTTGGTTTGTAAAGTTCATAGCAAAAATTATCTAACTTTTATGCTTTTTATTTATAAATTATTATTTTTATGTTGTCAAATAAATGTTTCTAGTGTGAAATGCTCAGAGGATTCAGTCTATGCAAGGGTTTTCTCCAAGCCCCATATGACAATATATGTCTCTAGTTCTTAAGAACTCTAGAAAGTTTGTTTTCTTATTTCTTATGTAAATAAGTATGGAAAATTTACAGATAAGATTTCGACAACAAAAACTATACAATTAGCAGCAATCTATAGCTTTTTCCTACTTTTTAAAAGATTTTCAAAAAGGAAATATAAGCATGAATTAATTCAAGGAAAAATCTACAGGCAAAAAAAATCATTAATTTTAGTTAGAAAAAAGCTCTTTTATTATTATTTTATTACTGTAAAAATACAATCCAAATTCCCATTCCTTCCCTCCTCCCACTCCCTCCACATACCCTCCCCCCCTCTAATCCTCAAAGAGGACAAGGCACCCTGCCCTGTGGCAAGTCCAAGGTCCTCCCCACTACATCTAGGTTGAGCAAGGTATATATATCCAAAGAAAAAAGGATCCCCAAAAGCCAGTACATGCAGTAGAGATAAATCCCAGTGTCACTATCAGTACCCCCTCAGTCTTCCCAACTGTCAACCCCCGCTTCAGAGAGACTTGTTTGTTCCCATACACATTCACTCCCAGTCCATTTGGAGTTGGTGAGCTCCCATTGGCTCAGGCAAACTGTCTCAGTGGGTGAACCCCTCATGGTCTTGACCTCCTTGCTCATATTCTCATTCCACCCACTCTTCAACTGGACCTTGGGAGCTCAGTCCAGTGCTCCAATGTGGTTCTCTGCCTCTGTTTCCATCTGTTATTAGACGAAGGTTCTATGGTGATATTTAAGATAATTATCAGTCTGACTACAGGGAAAAGCCAGTTCAGGAACCCTCTCCTCTATTGTTTAGGGTGTTAGCTGGGGTTATCCTTGTGGATTTCTGGAAATTTTTCTAGAGCCAGGTTTCTTGCTAACCCCATAATGGCCCCCTTAATCAAGATATCTCTTTCTTTGCTCTCATCTCTGTCCTTCCTCCATCTCAACTATCCCATTCCCTGATGTTCTCAGCCCTCCCCTTCTCCCCTTCTTTCTACCTCCACCCCCATGTTCCCAATTTTGTCAGGCGATCTTGTCTGTTTCCAATTGCCAGATGTGTCTATATATGCTTTTCTTTGGGTTCACTTTATTACTTAGCTTCTCTAAGATCATGAACTATAGGTTCAATGTCCTTTGTTTATGGTTAATATCCACTTATGAATGAGTTTACACTGTATTCGTGTTTTTGGATATGGGTTACCTCCCTCAGAATAGTGTTTTCTAATTCCAACCATTTGCATGCAAAATTCAAAATGTCATTGTTTTTTACCGCTGAGTTGTACTCATATGTGTAAATGTGCCACACAGCAAAAAGCTCTTCTAAGTTTATAAATGTATTTGTTTGCATTTGTTTATTTGTGTGCTGTTGGGAGGAGATCCGCTTGTTAGTTCCTGGCCTCCCAGAACCAAAGTAATCACACAGAAACTGTATTAATTAAAACACTGCTTGACCCATTAGCTCTAGCTTTTTATTGACTAATTCTTAAATTAATTTAACTCCTTTCTATTATCTGTATATCGCAACGTGACAGTGGATTACCAACAAAGTTTCAGTATGTGTGACTCTGGCGGCGGCTCCATCACTTCTCTCTGACTCCACCTTCCTCCTCCCTATACTATATATATGCTATAGGCCAAGCCAGTTCTTTATTCATTAACCAATAAAAGCAATAAAAGGAACATATAGACAGAAGGACCTCCCACACCAGTGTGCATTTACACACTTACCTCCACACACCTTATTTCGTACATGTAAATGTCAAAGGACAACCTGTAGGAATCTATTCTTTCTAACTTGTGGGGTCATGGGGATGACGCACTCAGGTCTTTCAGTTTTGATGGCAAGCACCTCTACCTGCTGAACTACCTTGCCAGCCCATTTCTACCTTAAATTTTCCTTCAAACCACTTTACTTCATTTAAGTGAATTCAAAGAAGGTGAAAACCAATAAAATAACAGAACATTTAAAATGTCAACGTAAACCTAATTGTTTCCTAAGAAGACCTATCATGAGAATACAAATCTTCTAACTACCTAAACATTTATAAAATGTGGAAGAATTTGAGATAAGGACAATGGAAGAAAACCTGTGAAATAAAGGTCTTGTGTGAAGATGAAGTTAGCATTAACAATTTTCATTGTGTAATAGGGTTGACTTGAGAAGCACTTAGTAACTCTCATCTGCATTCTTGCCTCCAATGTTATATATTTTGGAAGCATGATTCTATGTAAATTCTTAAAGTGCATGAGCATGCTAAAGATGTATGTGCTAAAATTATCTTTTCTCTTTCTTCTAGTGTTAAAACAAGGCCAGTGCGGATGCCACCGGGCTATCAAGCAGATCTTGTTATTCAGTTGGTATGGGTCGATGGTGAGCCTCCTCAGCAGATTACCAGCCTTGCTGTAAGCTCAGCGTATGGAATGTGAGTGGTTAAACTTTCTTTCTAGTTAGTATTACAGAATTCTAAACAGTTTACAAATGTTTCTTTTAAAATATTAAGACTTAAAAGTTAGAGAAATTCTTTAGTTCAGTTTTTATTAGATTGACCATAGTATGATATATTAATAATTAAACTTGTGCTATGATAATTTTATTTGTTTTTTTTTTCTTGATTTCATATTAGTGGTAATGTTCCTACTTCAGATTTTTCCTTTTGGATTGATTTTGATTTTCTGCCTCTTTTCCTTTACATTTCACTTTTGGGCACCTTCCTTTGACCAGTCCTGTAGATTTCACTTCTACTTTGTTTAATTGATAGTAGATCTGCCTGCAGGTCTCGGCTTCAGGTACACTTGCAAATAGAGGAAGTGTTAGGTTTCTGATGAGAACTGACTCTTTCATCCTTCTTGGGGATTTCTGAGCTCAGTTGTAAGGTACTTGAATGGTATAATCCATGTTCCCCATTACTTTATGCGGAAAGTGCATGCATTATTTTCTGACCCAGTTACCTTGAAGATGGGTGAATTCAAGCAGTTTCAAGATACCCTTTTCAGAAGATTGGCCTTCAAAGGCAGGAGCAAGGTTGTGGAGACATGCCACTCAAGTCAGGAACTGAAGAGAATTGGAGTAAATCATTAGAGAAAACATTTTCTGTGTATAGGAATTCCACTGAAGAGCATATGAGAATGACAGCTAGGATGATTGCCTTATAGAACTTCAGTTACAAAAAAAAATCCTATCTCAAATCATCACCAAAGTGAATTCCACAAAATATTAAAGAATAAATATACTTATTATACAGAATCCTTCTGAGATTTATGAAAGATAACATCATAATTGTCTCATTTTGAGGTAACATAAATTTGAGGACTTGAAAATGTTATTACAAGAATGGAAAATTATGTCTATGACTTAGATCAATATGAATTAAAAATTCTACTAAAATATAAATAAATCTATCAAGAAAACTTATAAAATTTTTCATAACCAAAGTTCAATTACATTGGGACTATAGATAGTTTTATCATTTTAAATGAGTCAGGGCAATTTATCAAATTAACAGAATAAAGTGGAAAAATCATATGATTATATCAGGGATGCCAAAACAAAAAGCATATGAGAAGCTGCCCATGCCCCAACAGATAGAGTTGCCCCAGTCACATACTGGAAGTACTGGGTAGACTCAGAGGTTAGAACAACATGGCCACTAGAAGTTGGGAAGAAATGGTAAGATGAATGGAAGAAGAATTGGAGCAGAGAGTATAAGGGATAGACTTGATCCAAACACATTGTGTACATGTACAGAGTTCTCAAACAACAAAACACACACATGCAAATACACACACGACAATGTTCAATACCCGTGGTGAGTTTAAAAGAAGCTTCTAGCTAGGAATATGAAGACAATTTTCTTACTCTAATATGTTGCAACAAGCACTATACTTTACAGTGACATGATAGACATTTCACCTCTGAGTTTTAAAAATATAAAAGTTTACTTGGGCTGCTGTAATAAAATACCTTAGACTTGGAAATTTATATACAACAGAAGTATATTCCTCAGTTCTAGAGACTGGGAAGTCTAAGATCAGGGCCTGAGCAGATTCAGTGTCTGACAAGTGCTCACTCTTTTAGAAATGGCGTTTGACTGCATTCTCAGGTAGAAGATACAGCAAACAAGCTTTCTTTCCTTATGAGGGACCTGATCTCATCTGTGACATGGAAGTCCTCAAGACCTAAAGACTCCACATCTCAATACTATCACCTTTGGGTTTTATGTTAAGCATCCTTGATAATATGCATTATAGTTATTAATTGCCATGTGCCATTTAAGCTTATTGAGAAGCTAGCTCTAAGAAAAATGGTTGATGTGCTCCCTAATTTCAAGCCTAAGCATGTTTTCTCCAAAATGCCCCTAGACATAGGGATAGGCTGGCTCAATAGCCTTGTGACATCAGAAAAAATCAACCAGCAAAGAGTTCTGAAAACATTGTGTCCTTGAGAACAACTAGGAAGAGAAACCATTTTCAGCAGAGACTTCTGCTAATTATCACTCTAAATGTCTTCAGTGGGAGTGAGAAGCCAGGAGCTCATCCAGAAAGAGAAAGTGCAATCTGGAACTCCAGCTGACTGCCTCGGCTTCCCCAGTTGATGTCTGTCAGAGAAGCCCTAAACTTTATATTATCTTTGTTCTCTCAAGCAGGATACTCCTGGATGTTCTCTTCTCGATGTTGTGAACTGAACTGATGGTGTTTCCATAACCTGCCTTATGCCTGTTTGTTCTTTCACTTCTGCTTGCTATAAACCTAATAAATTCACTAATTCAAAATTGAAAATACTTCTATTGTAAGTCATTTTTAGACCACATAGAATACGTGATTTGGGGTAGATACAGAAATTCAGACCATAGCTTTTTGCTCCTAATTCCCAAAAGTTCATGTATTTATCACTTGTAAAATAACCTTTATTCAACAACAGCACCAAAAGTCTTAGCATTTCAGCATCAGTATATAAGATATCAGACTGAAATTTTATCTAGATGTTACCTGAATAGATAGGTATAAGACTCAAAGTATGGTTCATTGAGAGGTCAACTCTGCTACCTAAATGTTTCACTCACCTACATAAAGTTATGATTCATGATTCAATATCTTCTCTAGCCATGATCCTATGAAATGAAATGCTTACAAAATAAAAGGGCAATTATTTGTCCCACCATTCCAAAAGTCATAAGTATTAAGTGGGGGAGCATACTATATTTCAACTAAAAACAAAATACGACATGGAAACATTAAATCTGAAGTCTGGTTGATAACTCGACTTCGTATTCCACCTTTTGAACACAATGAAGCATAGTTGGGCCTGAAGGTTTAGAGTAACCTTGTTGCTAGTGGAGAATAGTTGGTATTGCAACTCTAATGCGCTGGAATCTCATACCTGAAACTCTCCTATGGTAAGGTAGATAGTGGCATACTCTCTAGCAAGGAGATTATACTCCAGGAATCATTGCCCTCATAGGTGCTTTCTTGCTCTTCTTTGTCAGTTTTCTGGCTAGGACCCAAAACCCCAAGGGAAATGTTGGTGAAGAGAGCAAACCCATATTTTGCATTCGTGGGCCATGGCAGCTGGCATGAATTGGATATCATCAAATTTTGTGACCTGAGTACTCCTGAGGGACAGTTACTATGTCCCACAATGCACCTGAGGCTACTGAAGTTGTACATGAAATTGATACAAACCACTGTTAAAGAATATGAGTAGGAGAAACACATCACACACCAAGATTCCTTAGTCTTTTAATATCCCTGTTGTGATGAGTTTCATGTTCTAAACATTCACACTCTAGGACTGTGATGATCGTGTCAGCCCAATTATCTCAAAACTGCCTTTAGATCCTTCTTCCAATATCTTGTTGGATAGTTTCTGCTTTCTTTGTAATTATAATTTTAAATGCAGTTTTCACACTTGGCTTGAAAAACAGAGAAACTATTCTTTTTAAAAAGTTATCATTAATGTTAACATCTTAAAATGTATTTCAAGATGGTTTAGAATATATCACCCAAATTCTTTATTTTTATAATTAAAATGTTTGTTTTTCCATTTTAATTAAAATACAGCAATCACACATGTATATGGAATTAGTAATATTTCATTAACTATATGAAATGTATAGTAGTCAAATCAAATTGGTGAGCATTTCTAGCTCATTTAATTCCATTTGTCAACTTTTGCTTCTGTTTACTATTCTTTTTAGGCTCTAACAAGAAAAAAGTATTGCCTGAACCAACGTGTTTCCTTTGTATTCCAGTATTTTCAGAGTTTCTGGTTTTACACTTGGGTTTCTTATTTATTTTGAAGTAGTTTTTTAATATAGGCTGAAATGCAGTAGTTATTTCAGTATTCTATGTGGATATCAAGTTTCCTCAGTACTATTTGTTGAACAGGCTGTCCTTCACTATAGATTTTTGTTTCCTTTGTTGACTGTTTAACTTGTCTCTCCACTCTGAATACATGTACATTTACTTCTGGGATTCCTCTTTTGTTGAATGATATGTCACTTTATGTCAGACTTATTTTGACCACTATGGTTCTATAGGACGAAAGATTCTGTACATCATTGCCTTCAGCTTTGTTGTTGTTATTTGTTTCCATTATGCTTACTTTGGCTATTTGGAATTGTTGTGCTTCCATTTAAATATTAAAAACAGATTTTTTTCTGGTTTTATGAAAAGTGCCATTGGTTTCTTGCTAGGTATTACACTGAATTTTTTTTTTCAAGACTGAGTTTTTCTGTAGCTGTGGAGCGTGTCTTTGAACTAACTCTTGTAGACCGGGCTAGCCTCAGACTCACAGAGATCTGCCTGACTCTGCCTCTCAACTGCTGGGATTAAAGGTGTGTACCACCACTACCCAGAAATATATTGAATCTTTTTAAAAAACATTTATTTTATTTTATGTGTATGAGTGTTTTGCCTGCATATATGGATGTATGCCACATGTGTACCTGGTGCTTGTGGAGGCTAGACAAGGGTATCAGATACCCTGAAACTGGAAGTACAGAAGTTGCTAGAAATTGAACCTGTATCCTCTGAGAGAGCAGTCAGTGCTTTTAGCTACTGAACCATCTCTTCAACTCTTGTATTAAAATATTACTGCAGCTAATACAGATATTTTAATAATGTTAGTTCTTTCATTCTAAGAATCTAATAGGTCTTTCTACTTTTCTACTTTGTGTATCTCTCTCTCTCTCTCTCTCTCTCTCTCTCTCTCTCTCTCTCTGTGCCTGGGAGGTCACAAATGTATATGTATACATGTCCAAATGTGTGAGGGCACACATGCACATGGAGACCAAGGATTAACATGTCTTCTTCTATCACTCTTTATTTGCTGAGACAGTCTTCCACAGATCCCAGAGATAGCCAGTTTCGCTAATTTGATTAGCCCATTTGTCCTGGGGATCCAGTCACTAACTCCAGTACTCTT